ATTGAAGATATGAACTGAGCTTTCACTTTTCTATTTCAAATCAGATCTAATCAAATAAATTATAGATCTCCAATCTCAATAGCCATCCCTCACAAAATTGTTGTTTGAACATCATTATATAATTTTAGGATGGTTATAAGCTTGGCTGACTTTGCTTTGTTTATCTTTCTCCAGACTACGGATTATTCGTTACGTCTTTAACTCTGCCATTGCCGTCATCTTGTGGAGAGTTCTGATCGCCAAGTCCCAGTTTGCCCGCAACTTGTGGTTTTTCATTGTAGGCCTGGTGTTTAAGTTTGTTCAGTACTTCAGAATAACGAGCACCATGCAGAAGTCTTGAATAGGTTGGACCTAGGGACAGCTTTACAAATTTTGTGAATCTTATTAGTTCATTTTTTTTTCTCCCCCTCTTGTGGCACCAACTGAGCAACAGTGACTAACCGAGATAACCAGGGCCTTTTGATGATGTCAGTAGTCATGAGAATGAAATTCAATTGTTGGACTTCATGTTCATGTTGCACTACTGATTTGACAAGCATAAATATTTATGGAGAAATATCACCTAGTTTTAACTCCTGAGAATAAATTGACTTAAAGCCATCACACACTGGAGACATCTTTAACATTTCTGGAAATAAACAAAATTTCCATGTCATTAGTTCATGTACTTAAATTGAAGAATTTGTTAGCTGCTCTTAGACAATTTTTATCTATATTTGAGACATTTAAAGGTACCGTTAAAGAATATATACTTTTGCTTAAGTCTTGAGTGGTATTTCGTTAAAAACTTTATTAAGCAATCTTATTAAATGAGGCCCATCAAAAAGAAAACGTTTGAAGTTTAATAAATAACAGACTGTCAGTCTCAGCCACATTTTAGTTTTTTGTTTTAAAACTATAAAAATTCAAAACTAAGGGTCTATTTTCAATTGGATAAAAAGATTTTTTTTAATTTGAAATATTTTTGCCAAATATCTATCATTTTCAAAACATTTCTTCTTGTCACAGTTTTGGAAAAAAAATAACTATCTTAAAACTCTTAAACTATTATATGAAATAATATTTTCCAATTACCGGTACTGTGAAATTTACCATAACTTTTTTCCCCCTCAAAGTTGGCATTAGTGAACCCATGACCTGCATTGCCCAAGCTTTGTTGTGTTTTTTTTTTCAATATAAATTCTTTATAGTACTTTAAATTTATTAAACCTATCAGTGTCTTTATTAAATCTGATTTTGTTAAGGGTTTTTACTTGTTAGCAATTAATCACAATTTTTTTTTTGTGTTCTGTTGTTATATTAATAAATTCTTTAATGGTTATGAAAATACCCCTTAATTTCCTTTTATTTTCTTTACTTGTTAAATGTTCTGTTTGTTTTAAGGGGCTTTTTTTTAAGGACTTAACTCTACAGGTGTTTATGCCGTGAGCCCAAAGAATCTACTGACATTTTAAAAATAACTGCAGCTGATAAAATACGTGCTTCTTCAAATAAGTTCTGACAATAAGTTGCCGAGGTATGCATGGGTCAGTTAACATTGCTTACATTTATGGAAGTACAAAAACTCACATAATTTGCTCTATTTGACCTTTGGACTCCTTAGTGACATCCCAAAAAAACCCAGTTGTTTTAAAGTAAAAACTTGGAACCAAAACATGAATAGAAAGGAAATGTCAATATTTGCATTCATGTATTGTTAATATCACCACAGCATCATTACACATTTTCCTCTTCTCAGAAAAGCATACCATACTTGAGAGTGATCCCAAGTAATAATATTCCCAATACACCATCTATTTAAAATTCTTACTGCTATTCTTCAAGCTCACTTGTCTGTTCCTGTTTGATTAACATTTTTTTTTATAATAGCTTATTTCATATTTGTATGAAACATTAAAGCAGATGTTGTGCATTTCAACTAGTAATTTGTCAACTGATATAAAATAATTAGTTTGATCATAGATGTATAGTTATGTTGTCCCAAAAAACTGTCATTTTCACACTGAACATGATCTTTTGCAAGATTTGTGTAAATAAAAAAAAAATAATGGCTGTTTCCCATACTTGTATGAATTTGAAATGATTTACTATGTATATTAGAATATTTGCTCCATGAATATATCACTTTTAATGGCACCGTAGACTTGAAGTCTTGAATGTGTTTAATAAACTCTATGTCACAACTAGATATCTCATGCTCAGTTTGAAAAGTCATCTCCTTTCTACATTGACAAGAGATACCGTCAGCGGTTTGTTGATTAGATATATAATACTAATACTAGTCTGGTGTTATGCTGTTAAAAATTGTGGGACATATTACTGTAAAATTATAAACTGTTAAAAATTATAGGACATATTACTGTAAAATTATAAAACAGGTAACAGAATATCTAGAAAAATGTACAGACTTTTTAAGAATTATGAAATAAAAGTATGACTTGTAAGTTGGATAACTACATCAAGTGCAACTACCTCCAATCACCAGCTAAATTACATAACACAGTTAGACACACTATTTGGTAAGGTAAAAGGAGATAGGGGATTGATTCCGCTTATCTTTCCTTTTGGCCATACAAGTTTTTAACTTTTCTTGTGAGTTGTCTTTTTGTTGCTCTTGGGAATTTTTAAATACAAAGGAAAAGAATACCAATAATAATGGTTAAAGGTTTGTGATTTAGCCATAGTTATCAGCCTTTAATTATTTATTGCCACCACATAACAAGGCTACTTAATGTGTTAACAGTTAACAAATTTCTACGTTTGTTACTGATTTTGTTCTGTTTAAAAATTGCTATAACTTAAATTTTAAATTCTTGATAAAAAGAAGGCAGAGCTTTGAGATTTATTTCTTAAAATGCAATGATGCCATCTTAATCATTTTTGTCAAATTTTGATTTAACCTGATTTACTATATTGTGGGTTGCACATAGTGTCCAAGTTTTTCTCTTTAATTTCATAAAAATTGTTGTGAAAAATGTACTTCAAATTTAAATACATTTTTTTGTGCCAGTGCAAACTTTTGGAGACAACTCTCTCCATACATTTATTTCTGCAGTATCTATTTTACCGGTACACATTAGTGGCAACTTAATTCTCTGTGTATTTTTTAAAAATGTGTCTGTTATTTTATTGACATTAATCTGTTGATGGTAGAGCAATTTGCCAAAAGTTCACTAATAACTTTGTCAATTTATACAAATAACTAAGGTAAGTCAATGAAGTATTATTGATTTTACTCTTTTTTACACTAGAAATTTAAATATATTATTATGGCATTTACTATTTACTACTTTTTGAGCAGTGGAGTTTCATTAAACAGGAAATTGTCAGTACTTATTGGTTCATTTTGAGACGAAAGGCCCCATTTTCTGTTCAAAATGAGCTCAACAAATAAACTTTTCGTGCACTCATTAGCTAGAATGTAAATCAGTCTTACCTGCTTGTAGATATTCAAATTAAATGCAAAAAATGTATTCTTCACTATAAAAACTAACTTGTATTTATTGTGGTCAACACAGCAAAGGATGTTACTGTTAGTAGTAAAATAAAATTAAGATCTAAATTTGCATAATGTTATGCTTCAAGGAAGTTTTTTGACTGAATCTATCAAAGTTAAATGGGTAGCTTCTGGGGGTAAAAAACTAGAAGAGTAGAAGTCATGATCACTGCATTTAATTTATTATTGACAAAACTGAAAATCACTGTTTAAAATTAAAGTCTACTTGTCAAGCTTTGTGGTACCCTTACTTGAAAGATGAATTTTTATTATTTCTAATTTCTTGTACTTTAATTTTTTTTTTTAATAAGTGAAATAATTTGCATGTACCCTACCATACATTATGTGAATTTTTTTTAAAAAAAGAAGAAAAAGATTTAGAAAACTATTTGCTATAAATTTTAGAGAACCACACATTTTATATAAAAAAAATTCTGAGATTTATTTCTGCTTGTCCTTATTGTTTATAAGCTGGCTGATGTCTAAAACATGCATCAGTCAATTTGTCCTGTTTTGTTGGGAACCTGTGAAGAAATGAGACAACAATTCTGGAACCCACCAAACCTTTTAGAGGTGATTTGAGAAATTTCACAAGTAAAGCAAGACCCAGAGCTTGAATACCAAAAAAATGTCTGCTTATGAAAGGAACTTCTACGAGTCACACTCACCCATATTTTGTACATAATTAGTGTATTGATTGAAATGAATGTGTCTTTTTGTTAACACTTGTTTTTTTTTTAGTGATTAAGTAAGTAACCCGTTATCTTAGCATATTTATATTATATCATTATTTAAAAAAACACATTATCTTCTCATAAAAATGTTAACTACTGTCATCTTAACCAAATGTTTTCCCCATGCAAAGGTGAAGGGAAGAATGATTTTTAGGTCTGTCTTTTTATATTTGGTTTTACTTGAAAGCTTGTGCAAATATGTATTCATTTTAGTGCTGTTAAATTTATTTGGCTAGTGTTTTTGGCACCATCTTTCTGACAATTGTGTAGTGTCATTCCATTTCTTTTGGATCATAACTTAATATTAAACATATGTAGAAGCCTCAAAGCCACTGTTCATTCTATAGTCAAGATCCCTAAACTTATGTGGTGTAATCTACAACAAACTAAACTGTATCACTGTACGGTATCTATTGAATTTTAACCCTTAACCATTGGTATCTTTACATCCAAAATAAGGGTGTCTGAATTTAGCCTTATGAAAGGACCCTAATTCAATAATTGGTAACAATGTTGACTTGACTGGCCTTGTGCTACTGGTGAGCTTAAGACTTACAACAAAGGCCAAGATCATTCAAGTGTGCAAACCATCACTCTTGAGAAAACTGGCAATCCCCATAAAGAGTTTTTAATTATTTTATGGTAAGAAATGTTTTCAAAAGCCCCTTTAGTAAAAATAAAGATACCCAGTACATGTAATTTTAGAAAAAGTCATCACCTCATCAATTAAAGGCCTGTTTATGTCTAATATACTGGTGCCATAATGCACACATTTGTTTAATATGATTATGATCTCAAGTCTCAGAATACCAGATTGAATCCCCACCCTTTTTACTTTCTTCAACTCAATCATTTAAATTCAATCTATTTAAAGTTTATTTAATTTGGTAAAAATGTGATAAAACAACACATTATTTTGAACAATGAAAAGTATTTTCTGTAGGTCAATTAATCTGCCAAGTAACTACATTTTCATTGGGACAATGGATAAATACAAATCATATTTACAACATATAGTTCATTAAAGAACATCCACATATTTATGTACCGCCAAGCGAACAATTTCTAAAAAGCTATATTAATCTTTTGGCGAAGTAAAAATAAATTATTGGAGTTAAATAATTTATGTATAAACAAACAGAAAACAAATATTTTTTAATGAAAACTTTTACATTCAATTCAATTGATGCTGTTTCTTCTGTATATTAAGGGCCCACGATAAAATAATTGTTACATTGTTCCTTCATTTCATTAAAAGAAAAAATAACTGCATCTTTCCAACCGTTGCATCTACTTAGAATAGAGATAGTAATATTTGATTTATACCCAACATAATGCAGTACTTGAGAAAATCATTTTTTATTTAAAAGCATACAATTAAATCAAATGAAATCTCCATGTCAAGGCTGATCATTGGGCCTATTTTCAATTCTGCGAAATACAGCCAACCACTTTTCTCCTTTGTTGCGTGTGACCTTCTTGCCTTCCTCTGTGCTATTGTAAATTTTTTCCACCACAATATCCTCTTTCTAGGAAATTGGGAGAAAAAAATATTTTATTCAACATGTTAAGCCACCAAAAAAAATCTACAGTATTTCATTTTTAAAAACCACTTGAATATTTGATGGATCACTATTTTCTTTAAATGTAAAAGCTTGAAAATATTCATAAATTATTTTCAAAGCTTGAGATGGTATATTTATAAAGGAAAATTATACAACTTTCATTTTCTAACAACCTACCAGCTCTTCATCACTAACTCTCTTAAAAAGTGGAAACTCTGTAAAATGGTCAACCATCCAGTCATGAAGATCTTTTACATCAGTGATTGTATACACTAAACCCTGGAAATATTTAACTATACAGTACAATTCCATAAACAAACTAATAAAAATTTACTGTTTAGATTAGTGTTTTTCAATATTTTTATTGGAATTGGAATGGAACCCTTTGGAGCGCTTAGATTGTTTGCAGAACAACATGCAGAGACAAAAGGGTTTCTATTCCAAATGGACAGAAACATTTTCCTACACTTGGAAAAAAACACTGATTGAAACAGGTGTGTGAAGCACTGTAACTGTAGCCCAATTAAAAAATAAACTTGTGGCCAGAATAACTGATAGTACCAGTTACTTGGTTTCAATGTCACTGGACACATCTGAAATATGTCTGCTTATATTGTCTGCTAGTGGAATCTAATTGATGTCAGATCAATCTCGCCAAATGGAATTCTCACAAATTCTCGACATGAAGGTTGTTGTTTCGGCAAGCCTAAGATATTTCATATTCTTTGCAACAATCTCAACAACACAACTGGCTTTTGTCACTTATAACTTTTATTTTGAACTTTTTCTCATGCATTTTTTTTTTTAATTAGAGCTTAGTGCTCTCACAAAGTACACCACATTCTTGTGCATTACAGCCTGATTAGAGACCGACAGAATGTGATTTTATGGTTTCGACAGATGCCAAACCGAAAATTAAAAATGACTTTCGATTGAAACCGAAGCCAAAAGCTAACGAGACCTTTGGCAAATACTGATACATATGTAACCCAGCACAAGATTTAAAAACTAGCTTAACAAGACTTTCTGCCAATTCTGAAACCGAAAGATATATAAACCAGCAAAAGATTTAACAACTATGTTGTGAAAAAAGGATGCAATAAAAAATTCAACATCAGATCATCAACAATACTTTTATAATTAGTACTATTAGTAGTATTAGTAGTTATGAAATCCAGATAAAATCATTACAAACCTACACTTGCAACTAGAGTCGTTAAATTGCAGTTAGTTCAGTGTAAATTGGTTAGTACTTGGAGTCAAACATACATGTATGTTGTAGTTCAGAAACAAACGTTTCTACACATTATTTACCTTTTATTGTCAATGACAACATTTATGAGGAAGATGATATACCATTAGAATGAATTGAATAAACCTAGGCTAGGGTTTCAAAATTTTATTAATTTTTTTTTTTACAAATAATTTTATTACCACCCTTTTACTCTTACCTTTTTTTTTCCCACAAAAACTATTTACCTTTGCCTAAGCCTAATTGTAATTTTATTTTGGGAAATATTGGACAAATAGGTCATCATGCAGCTGTGATCAGTGTTCGTCGAGGATTAGTCATATGTCATACAATGACAACAGAATATTAGATTGCTAACTGACAAAGTAACTGTCTGACTTCTGGTAGACGACTAAAAGCCTAAATCACTGTCAGCAGAAACTGAAAATCAACCAAAAGGTAACTTTTTTTGTTTCAGCCACAACTGTGATGAAAGTGATCATATGGCAACTTCGGCACCTAATCTGGATGATTAGTTGATAAGTGTCCCTTCAATTTAGCTAATGCCATGGCACTATTGGCAAGCTTTTCCCTGCAGACAACATAGAGCGGTAAAGGGCAGTCTGGGTCTCCTTCCATTCCCAAGTGAATCCCATAACTAAGTAAAATTGTCACTGTGATGGCAAACTATACCAATTGATAAAGTTGGGCTCAAATGACGCGTTACTAGCAGAAGCTTCAATGACTTCTTCTGAGTTTAGTTTGGTTGTCAGCCATGGCATCATTCCATTTTCTCTTCAATAAATTAGTCCATTCTTGCGCAAAAACAACAGTGTTATGAAATGAAAATTAATTCCAACACTCATTAGGACAAAAACCCGAACAGTAATTAAGTGGATAAACGGTTAATAATTACAGCAGGAACTGCCAGAGTTGGTCATTGGCAATTTCAGACGTTCATTTTTTATTTTTACTGGCCACCAGAGGAATACCTGACAAGGCGCGCATGAAACCATTTGCCCTTAAGTTCCGCTGCACCCCGGTTGAAAAACACTAGTTTAGATGGATAAAGTATTTGTTTTTTTAAAACACCACCTATTTAATTAAGACCCAATGAGGAACTGATTTAGCATAACGTATTAAAATAGTTCTTTCAGCAACTGTCTCTATACAAATAAATAATCAAGTGAATTATTTCACAATTTCGGTAATTATTACCCCACAAATATGCTTAACTTCTTTTGATGGTTAAAAAAATAGACTTACACCAGGTCTCAAAACATATGCATACTCTGCCAATAAAGTCTTGTTAACTATACGCCACTTGTGTTTCGCCTTTTTAAAATGCGGATCAGGGAACAAGAAAAACATTTTTGAAAGCTGTAGATGAGAATTGAAAATGAAAATAAATTTAAAATAATTGATACTAAACAAAGCTAAGCACAATTCAAGTCAATAAAAATATTTATAAAAAACACTGTAACCTCAGATTTTTAACTACAAGTCCTTTAGATAATATTTTAAAAGAGAAATAGTGTGTGGGCTTACCTGTCCTTTGCGGAAAAAATTTGGTAAATACTTCATAGCATTAGATCTAATGCAGGCAATGTTATCATATTGACCAGGATGTTGTAATCTTAATGCTTCAATTCTCTTTTGTACATAATCACTGACTTTAATACGAATTTCCATACCTAGCATCAGGGTCTGTGGGAATAATGGGGACAATGCCACTGTTGTGAAAATATAAAAAGAAAAAAAAATGTAATCGTGAAATGAAGTTTACCAAATAAAATATTGTAAAACATTAATGAAAAAGTAAATTAGTGTATTTACCTAATAATACTGATACCAGTACTTAAAATAAAAGAGTGAAAACTTAAATAATAATTTACCCAACAATCCACCATAACCACACCCAATGTCTGCAAATTCCACTTGTTTACTACATGACTCCTCTTTTTCACTGGTCACATTCTCTGTGGTGTTTGATGTGAAATGTTCTGGGTAAAATGAAGACCAATCCTTTAAATCTGGAGATACTGGGCTAAGGAAATTTGGCAAACAAAATAACAGACTTTCACTTTCAGAGACATCAAATTATCTTATGATTTAAAAATAATCAAAATGATTAAGTATTTGAAAGAAAAAAAAACTAAAATTTCACATACCTACTTAAAGTTAAAGACTGATTTCAGTGATTTAATTAAAAAATAGTGACTACCAATGCTTCGTCAATATTGCACTACATCATTCTATCCAGCATCTTCGCTGGTTAGGTCTTGTAAGGAGAATGAAGGAAGGCCGTATCCCAAAGATGCTGCTGTATGGAGAGGCCTCAGATTTATGGATGTTTGCAAAAGGAGCATGAGAGGAGCCAATATTGAAAACAACGATAGGAAATGCTTTCTGCTTGAAGACCCGAACAGAAATGCAGCAACTTTGCAGGCTTGCATACAGCAGCATATTTTGCCAGGTTCTCACATCATATCCGACGGTTGGGCAGCTTATGCCCAAGTGGACAGGATAGGAGGTGGAATATATCAACATTCAGTTGTCCATCAACACAACTTCATTGACCCGAATGATGCAGAAGTCCACACACATAACATTGAGAATATGTGGATGCGAGCTAAGCGCAAACTGAAGATACAATTCGGGACTTGTGGTGCTCTTTTTTCTGTATATAGTTTCTGTATGCCGTTTAACTTTTGTAACACTTGCTTTTTTATGTGACAGGGTCGTCAGCCCTGCGCACAACCGTCTGTGGGGATGCCCCTTGCAGCTCTCAGGGTAGCTGCCTTTGTCCCTAGCCTATGTGGATCCCTCCACTTCCTACAAGGCAGTAGGTACTGATTTTGGTCCGCCCCAGGTATTTTATTTCCCCGGTAACCTCCATATCTGGTGGGCTTTCCCCTATCCGCCACCTGGGGGGCCGCTTGATAGAAGATCAGTATCTCCTCAAAGACCCACCCATATTCACAATGATAAAAAAAGGCAGACTATGCTGGGCAGGACATGTTGAAAGGATGCCAGAATGGAGAGCAGCAAAAGTTATATACATGCAGAAGCCTAGGGGAAGACGACTCACCGGTCGCCCAAGGCTGAGATGGATCAATTAGGTGGAGATGGATGTACATCAGTTGGGGGTTCGTGCATGGAGGCAGAAAGCCATGGATTGCTCTGAATGGAAGGATGTGGTGGAGCAGGCCAGGGCCCTACATCACATGGGCTGTATAGCCACTGATAATGACGATGGTGCTCTTTTTTCTGTCCTATTAAGCCTATTTGCACGAGTTTGCTTATCATTGTTACTTTGGCGATGTAGACTTATTTAATTATTTTCACAGTTCATCAGCACTTTGGCTGACAATTATAGATAAATGAACATGCGTTTTCAATATTGTGTCACTGAATAGGCCTAATAAAGTGATTTTATATGGTTTTAAAATTTTTTAAAACAATTTTTAAACTTTTTAAATTACCGATGCTAGAATACATTTTACTTTGAAAAAACATCAGTCCCAATGACTCAAAAACAATGAGTGAGTGAGTGACTCACTTCAGACACTATCACTATTTTCAGTCAGTGCTGCGTGAGTGTGGAACGTTCTGGTTCTGTTCGTTGCTGCATCCATATAATGGCATCTGGGCAAGGGATGTTGCTATTCTAACAGCTCCTAGCAGATGCTAGGGCAGCCTTCGACCGATGTTGAGTCCACAGCTGCATTGTCCAGGTGGTTCCATGCAATTATGCATGGGAAGAATGATTGTTTATAGTGCACTGTGTTACATCGAGGCACAGTGAAGCATTTGCCATTGTTTTGGGTGTAGTTGTTTATGGGGTTGTCGGTGTTGAAATCAGTGTTCAGTTAGCGTTTGGCTCTGATCAATCGACCCGGCTTCTGTGGTGTGAGGTACGTGCCTGCTGAGATGGCCCGCACCAGCCCCATGACCACTTTATAAGCCAGAGTCAAGTCTATTAATATATTTGTAAATAGCAAAGCTCTGATTTTACAGTTCATGTGTTACATTTTAAGCGAAATTAATAACTCACTAATCTAAATTGTGATCCGAATTCGGATTGCAATGAGCTCTTTGACGATAATACTTCTTTTGCGGTAACTTCGTCTCCATACTGTTTTCTTTTTTTTTCTGAATCAAATCAGAATAGCCTTTTAACCCACATACGAAAATAATGGAGAAACACATAATTGTAAACACCAAGATTATAAAAAAATTATTTCATTTAATTATGAAAATATTTGTATATGATTTTTTTTTATTATAAATGAATTATATAAATGAATATTAAGTTTAATAAATATAGAGACAGGTGTATGCTTTGTAAATAAATAATATGCATATATACTGTTGTTAATACCTACTAGTCATTTGTACTACTAGATTGATTTTACGGCCTTAGAACTTCACCAACGGGAAAAAAAATAATTTGCGATTGAAAACTTATCGGTTGGAATGTACAGTCAATAAACATTTATTTTAAGTTTTAAAAAAATAAGTTCTAACATTTTCACTTTTGCATCATTAAGCGAATTAACTCTATTTTAGTAAAATAGAAAATTGAAAAGGTATATTTTGACATTTCCCCGTCATATTATATTAATTTTTTTTAAATTCTAAAACCAGTGAAGTAGATAATCAATGTAACATTGAGTGTTTCTCAAAGATTCATTATATTAAATTATAATATTATTAAATTTTAAATGTATCTAGGAAACTCTAGGCCAGGCAATATTTTTTACTACTTACGTTCTACTTTTTTTATTTAGTATATTTTTTTTTTTTAAAACGAATATAAAAAAAAAATACAATATTGACGACTGCCAATAATTAGTCTAGTCCAGAAAAAAAAATAGTCTAGTCTAGTGCAGAAATTAAATAGGCCTACCTACCGACTGCAAGTGATTAAATAGAAAGCGAAGGTCGATATATATTTATGTATTTTTAATTACTTTAAATTTAATTAACAGTTATTTGTATGACTTCACATAATTAAAAGTAAAAAAATTGATTTTAAATTTTTACAATGTATCTAAATAAATGACCTATTTTAAACTAGTAGTATTAGTACTATACTATTAGACTAGTATTATTAGTAGTTCATTTAATAAAAATGGAAATATTAAATCAGTATGATCTAATTACAAATAGTAAAATCAATTTAGAACCACTTTTTAAATTTTATAATAATTTATAACCATTTATAAATAATAATATATTTTTTAAAACTTTTTTTTTTCTTTTCGAAATAAGTGAGCGACCGAAAATATAATAAGGAAGCTTAATTATTGGATTGTTTCGTTTCTTTGAATCAGATCTCTTAATACTCGCTAAACAAAAATAGTTAGATCAGAAATTTGCTCGCTATTTTCACTAATTATTTACTTACGAAGTCAAATGTGGAAAGTGGAAGTGAAATAATAGTTTGCTCTCCTAAGTTTTGTTAACAAAACTATTATGGAGGCCGATTTTGACCCCGAGGACAAGTACAGGTTAGTGTTAAAAAGTATTGTATTGTGTTATATATATCTAAGTCTTAGGATACCACTAGATTTTTAAACTAAAATGTTAACACTCCCTCGAAGAAAGTTCAAGTGTCAAGTGCTTTTTAAAATTAAAACATAGTATACTAAGTATAGCATAGGCCCTGGCCCTATTAAAATTAAAAGTAGATTGCTGTACTGTAATTTGTAAGTTAACTGTAACTACTCTGAGTAAGTCTAAGAATTTTTTGTTGCCCTAATCTGTGTCACTCATTGACATTAGTTAGTGTGTGTGTACAAGAACTAGAAGAACCTATTAATTTAAATTAATATTAGTAGGCTAAGTAAGACTAAGAAGGCTAATACTGATATTAATAAAACTTGTTTTAGTATAATAACCCTGCGCCTATTGCATTGTTGATTGAATATTGTTATAGTCTAGTCCTAGCCTAATAAAAATAATGGTTTAGTGGAAATAAATAGCCTAATGGCCCAATACTAGCTGTAAGTGTAAGTTGAGGCTGAGCTGGAGATCCTGAGTATTGCACCAGTTGACATATTTTTAAAAAAAACATTTTTACCTGTGTTATGACATGAATTAAATCAATGGTAATCTACCATTGCAGTATTGGCTATTCAAAATCTTCTCTTTTTTTTGAGTCGGAAGTACTATTTTGCCGGAAAGACCACAGTGGACAGTAAAGTGAGGGTCACAGGCATTGAAAGAGCGGGTGGGCACTGTTTCTTGTTGAAGTGCCAGACAGACGTGCCATCACTTTACAGGAGTGCATAGAGAGATATATTCTACCACGTTAACATTTTGTCTGGGGCGGATGTGCAGCTTATGCAAAAATAAATCAGATCTGACACGGAATCAATGAACACTCTGTTGTGGTCCATCAACAAAACTTTGTTGATTCAAATGTCTCAGGTGTCATAACACAGGATGTAGAAAATATGTGGAATCGCAAACTGAAGAGACAATTTGGCACCAGTCGCACTATTATTATTACTTCTTATTTCCTTAATTGTTACTCTGGGGGAAAAAATATGATAAAATCAAACCGTTTGCTTACATGTTATTATTTTTTTCATACACAAAATTGTTCTAGTTAAAAAGTGTTGTCTTGGTAAGAATATTTACCTATGCCTATGTGCTGCAATGAATATTACAGTAATTAATATAAACAAAAAACATTTTCATTTATTTGTTATAATAAAAGAATCTTATCTTATAAATTAAAGAATAACTGGTAAAATAGCACTTTAGGCCCGAAAAAATATAATTTTCGAATAACAGACGTTGAAGTGGTAGATCCCCAAATAAATAATAAAAGAATACTGACTAGGGAGTGGTGTAAAACATAGTCAGGAACATTACTCTCACTGTCAGTTAGGCCAAGTCAAAGGCTTTATCACTAATGGTTCTATAGATGCAGTTTCCTTTTCTCATATTTGGTAGAACATATTTCTTGTTGTCTTTAGATCATTTCTGAATTGTAATACCAAAACTCGGATCCCCCGGGTATGGTCTCAAAATATCCTACACCTGGCTTGGCCCTAGTATAAAATAATGACGTTTCAATCCTCAATGCTGTTAAGCAATGGTAAACAATGTGTAAAAGTTATAGCAGTCACAGGCCCTTGAACCCTAAGATTTAAAAGTGTCAACCCAAGCAGAAGGGAAAAATATAGTTAGCCCTAGGACCATAACAATGCTTACAATAAGTTTGCATGACTCTGCTACAAATACTTGTAAATTTGTATTACACTGTACACTCTGTAAGCATTTACTCCATTCCTTGACATTTATGAGGTTTTGAGAGTGATTGTTTCCATTTAATAGGCACAAGATTTCTCCCCACTGTGTTATATAAAACATGGATATCCTTAAATTTGGTTGCTATATTATCTTAAAGAGGGTAAAATTGAATTTGATCACAGATTTTTAATTAAATACCAAGTGTAAGGTGTCACAAATGACTGGGGCGGGAGTACAGGACAGAGCTCCATTGTTGTTAAGGTAACTTATAGGATGGAAGGAAACTGCTGTTAATGGGGTTAAGTTAAGGTTAATAGACTCTCACATCTTGATATAGTGGGGATTGTTTCTTTGGATAATAGTATGTTCGGGTTTTCCAGACTTCGCATGATAATTTTTGGGTTAACAATGGGAAGTTCTAATTGACCGGAAATTAGGGGGCAGGGGTGTGTTTATAGATAGCATTCCTGGACCACCTATGGGGGTAGAGAATCACATATAAGAGGGAGCTTTCACGGAGTTAAGTTAGTTGAGGGAGAGTGAACAGAGGTACGGATTAGTTGAGGAAGAGCGAAAGGAGCGACAGTAGTTAGTTGAGGAAGATAGAGAAGAACTACGGATTAGTTGAGGAAGAGAGAGAAAAGAGCTACGACAGAATCGTGCAGTTGTGAGGGAATAGTTGCTAGTGATCAGGAGACGACAGATGACTAGAAGAACTTATATCTTAAGAATAAACACACTTTCATTATCGTTGGACACCTGGAGTTTGAGTTGTTGCATTTCGTCCAAGTCTACGTTGTGCTTTTGTCTGTCTCAACGCCTAGACACCCACAATATAAATCACAGAGAGGAGCGGTCCTGTACTGACCACTACTAAGTCAACCTAGTTTGTGTTAAGTCAGGACCGGAGCCCTCCTCCGTAACAACCGTTCTGTGACATAAGGAAGCACCCAAATAATGACTACAGTTGCATAAATTAACTTTAAGGAGTGATAAAACGATTTTGGGGTCAAGGGAGAGCTCAAAGCAATTACTTCTCAATGGAAAGATATTTGTGTATGTCACTTTTTTTTTTTAATTTGACCCAGAGTATCGGTACTTACCTTAGGCTTATGATGTTATGACGCCTCAGCTCATGTAGAGCTTTGGCCTGCTCCACCACACCCTTTCATTCAGATTGATCCGTGACTTTTTTTTGTCTCCATGTGTGGATCCACAGCTGGTTTGTTTCCGACTGCCCATCAACATGCCATCTCAGTCTTGGTTTCTGCTTATTAACTTTTCGTGGGCTTGGCTAAAGCTGGCTTAAACAAGTGCAATGATAAGAATACTAGTAATTGACACTGCTGGCATCGTTTAGTTACTGTAAATACTCGTTTCAGGGGCTGAATTTTTAAATATATATCAGGGTGATTTTTATCAATTTCTCTAAGATAAATTGAAAAGCCTTATGAAATATTTTTTGTATATCACCAGCGTCTTGGTGTACCGAACACTTTGCAATATTCTCATATCTAACAGAAGCTTTAAATATTAATAAATAACTGAACTTTATTATTTAACTAATTAATTTTATTCTTGAAAGAAAATAAAGTCATAACGGTACGCTGATGTAGGTGGTGCCACTATTCTGTCATTATAAACACCAGCATATTCTCATCCTACATATTTTTGGTTCCATATTGCTCACACTGGCATATTATTTAATGTGAATGGCTTATAAACAACTATACACTTTTCAGACTTTTCTTGTTCAAAATTTTGTTAAGTGAGAATTCTGGTCTAAAGTTTAGGTTTGGTGGTGAGACATTTTAGGATCAGAATGTTAACATTGAGGGAAACTATTTGAGCTGGAAATTTCAATCACAACTGCTCCACCCACCCCCATCCACA